ACACTGACTTAGTAATTTTCTGAACACACGGGTGCGACGCTGGCCGTGTAGCGCCTACCTCTGAGGCGTTGCACAGTGTAGTGTGGCGCCGTCGTGTCGGGCGTCACACAAAAAGGTCAGCCGCGTGAAATAGTTTCACGGACAGTTCATTTTGTGATTTGATTTCGTCTATAGGTCAAATCCGTCAAATTTGCAAATTTGACGGATTTGACCTATAGACGAAATTAAATCACAGAATGAACTGTCCGTGAAACTATTTCACGCGGCTGACCCGTGGCGCCTAGCTCTCAGGCGCTGCACTAGTGCAACGCCCGGGAGCTAGGCGCTGCACTAGTGCAACGCCCGGGAGCTAGGCGCTACACTGTATAGTGTGGCGCCTAGCTCTCAGGCGCTGCACACTGACTCAGTAATTTTCTGAACACACGGATGCGACGCTGGCCGTGTAGCGCCTATCTCTGAGGCGTTGCACAGTGTAGTGTGGCACCGTCGTGTCGGGCGTCACACAAAAAGGTCAGCCGCGTGAAATAGTTTTACGGACAGTTCATTCTGTGATTTGATTTCGTCAATAGGTCAAATCTGTCAAATTTGCCGTGTGTCGCAGTGGATCTGGTCAAGAGAGAGGAGGCCTCGTCACCCGCCGGGCGGTGCGGGGAGCATGCGGCGCACACGCTCCCACGATGCGAGTAGGGCTCCTGAACAGCTCTGCTGGGCGTCTTGCATGCTGACCGCCGTAGCATCATCCCACTGCCCTTGAGCTCGCCGCTATACTCCTCGCCATCACGCGTCGGCCACCGCAGCTCGGCGGAGAAAGTCGGTCAGGATCGAGTTAATTGGGGATCCCAGAGAAAGGAAGTGTGTGTGTGTGTGTGTGTGTGTGTGTGTGTGTGTGTTGGGCGACTGCATCGTGGAGTGGGGGAGAGGAAGTGGCGGGTCGAGGCGTTCGCCCGTTCGGCCTTTGGATCCAACGGATCTTGGCATCAAGATTAAGTATGCCGGATCGAACGACGACGGATGTGTTTGCTCCAAATGGCGAAGTCGAGATCAAAACCCACGTACAGGGAGCTCATCCCACGCGGCCCCGAGGAGGAGATGGCTGTCCCGCTTGCGATCTGCCGCTCCCGGGAGGAGACATGTGCCCGACGGCGCTCGGACTCCTTCCGCCAGGAATCCATTGCGTCTGACCAGGTGCATGGATCCGCCGATAGGTGTGCCATCGCAGCCTCGTAGGAGGCGGTGCGGTCCATCTAGCGTCCGAATGCGGTGGCGGACACGCAACCCCTCCGTTGACGCGCCGAACATTGGGACGCGCCGTGGGCCTCGTCCGACGAGAACATGGCACAGCGTGCCCGCTGTGCGAGACAACGGTAGCCCTCACGGCGGTAGACATCGGCGAGGCGGAGTCGCATTCTCCGGCACCCCAATGATGCAACAATCCGGGCCCGCAGCCGCATCGTGGTGGACGTCGCCGACTCGTCTCAGGATGGATCCATCATCGATCTGACGTCCACCGGCACCATTCGGGTTACGGGCTTTGACGAGGAAGAGTAGGGCATGGAAAACGACGGCGCCTTGAGTCCCGTGAGGTGGCTTGTTTCCCATGCCTTCTCTACCTTGTCGGCGACCAAACCAACATTCTGGGAAGCATGGCCTGGTGCCGGACATGGCCATGACAGAACCGGGCGATCTTCGGTTAGATTAGGTTTCACGTTGCATGTAAAAAATATGAATTTGAGGTTTCTATTTGAGGTGTCCGGTTGTAGAATCAAATATTTGAGGTATGACCGGCCAGTGTCTGCGGACGTGCCCGGGCGCGTCCTCGGGCATTTGGGAGGCCAGATTTGTCCATCACGCCTGTAAATGCTCTAAGGGACTATGGCCATGGCATGCCACTGGATCTCAGTCCCTCACTAAGAGTATCTCTAACCGATCTCTTATAATTTAGACGAGCAAACGACGGAATATCTCTTAACTCCATATATTTGCTCCTCTAAAAAAGTGTGGTTCCAAATTGATCCTCTAAACTTAATTCCTCTTTTTTTTCAAATCTTCCAAAATTTAGATTTAGTTTACATACTACATTTCAACTACATATTTGCACACATATTAAAATTTCACACAATTAAGGTGCACACAACTCACAAATATTGCAAATTCAGAATTTACAAACCTAATTATTCAATTTCAAACACATGGAAGGGTTCAAATGAATAAAAGAGCATGATAAAAACAAACTTGCCATGTTTCAGAAAGGTAAATGACCATGTTCTAAAAATTATTCATCATCCCACTTCTCTTGAGCTCGCCGCCGTACTCCTCGCCATCAAGCGTCGGCCACCGCAGCTCGGCGGAGAAAGTCGGAGAGGAAGTGTTTGTGTGTGTGTGTGTGTGTGTGTGTGTTGGGCGACCGCATCGTGGGGGTGAGGGGAGAGGAAGTGGCGGGTCGAGGCGTTGGCCCGTTCGGTCTTTGGAACGAACGGATCTTGGTAATGACGTGGCCATTATATATGCATCAAGATTAAGTATGCAGGGTCGAACGACGACGGATGCGTTCGCTCCAAACGGCGAAGTCGAGATGAGGGTCTGTACACACTTGCGGACATGTGCACTGCCACGTAAATCGAAACTACTGCTTGGACGACAGTAGCCAGGTACTCCTACTAGTAGCTGCATGGATTTGGCTAGGATGGGCGACGTGGGCTGCATGCTTTGCTAGGCAGAAAAGCAGGAGACGGCCGCCCCGCGCCCCGATAATTCTTCATCATTGCCTCCGCTACAGCGTGCCCTTAATGGCGACTAGACGTGACGGCGGTGCGAGAACGTGCCCCCGCGCCGGCCGGTTGCGTGCGCGTCGGCTCGAAAGATCTCCTCGTTCCGCGAGCGCGCGAGGAGAATGCGGGGAGACCCCTGACCGATCGCGCCGCTCCGCTCCGAGTCCCTGACACGCGGGCTCCACATGTCACCGCCGTTTCTCTTTCCCCGATAGTACATCTCCGAGCCCGTCTTTCTATATAGTAGCGTCGTCGTCCAGGCTTGTCCATGTTCTATATAGTAAGTTCTCTTCTACCAACTCCTTGGGTTTCGGTAGGGTTTGGTCCTAGCTTGTCCATGTCTTCGCGAGGTGGAGGCGGCCGGCGCGGCGGCCACGGCCGCGGCGACCAGTCGTCCGGAGCGCACGAAGGTGGCCGCGGTCGGGGCGGTGGCGGCCGAGGGAGGGGCCGAGGGGAGGAGGCCGGGGGCGAGCGCGGCCGCGGAGGACACGGCCACGCGCCGCGCGGTCGCTCCGGAGAGCAGGAGCCACATGGAGGACGCGGCGGGGACGGCCGAGGGAGGGGCCGAGGCGGCGAGCGCGGTGGCCATCGGGACGACGCGGCGAGAGGCCGAGGTGGTCGAGGCGCTTCGCAACAACCTGCAGCTGGCGGGCGGGGTGGCGTCGCCGCGGTGGGGGAGCACGACCCGCGTTACGGCGGCACTGGACCTGGCCGAGCCGGCCAGCAAGTGGCGGCCCCGACGGCGGCGGTGGAGGTGCTGGGTGCCGAGGTCGAGCGGAAGATGGTGCTCTCTAAGGCCGCAGGCGAGCGGCCGTCGTCGTCGTCCTCCGCTCCGGTGGCGGCGAAGGAGCAGCGGAGGGTCGTCATGGAGCCTCCGGTGCCGGCGGCGCCGGCCAATCTGCCGCCGGTGTCGACCAAGGCGGAGAAGTTCCCGGCGCGGCCGGGGTTCGGGACCATCGGGCGGAGGTGCCGCGTCCGCGCCAACCATTTCCTCGTGCAGGTCGCCGACAAGGAGATCTACCATTACGATGTACGTATGCTCGAACCCGTTCGGTGATATTCGTAAATATTCATTTCATTTCATTCGTTGTAAGCTGTATTTTGAACCATCAAGTGGATTTGGATCAAAATAGAACCAATCACATGTCTTAGCTAATCCAAACGTTATTAAAGAAACAAGCAGATGCCAAAATCAGCCAACTTACAAGTTTCATGCAAATTTAAGGTTTCACCTTCAAAAGTGGGTGAATAATTTCTGCAAGCACATGATCATGGTTAATAATTTTCACCTTCAAAAGTGGGTGAATAATTTCTCCAAGCACATGATCATGTTTAATTTTTACCTTCAAAAGTGGGTGAATAATTTCTGCAAGCACATGATCATGGTTAACAATTTTCACCTTCAAAAGTGGGTGAATAATTTGATTCTGCAAGCACATGATCATGGTTAATTTTCAGCATAACAACCGTCTTCCTGTTGCGCAGGTGACAATTGATCCGGAAACGAGGTCTCGCGGTTGGAACAGATCAATAATCAACGAACTCATAAAATTGTACAAGGAACACTTGGACGGTAGGCTGCCTGTTTATGATGGAAGGAAGAGCCTGTATACCGCTGGTGCACTGCCGTTCAAGAACAAAGTGTTTGTCGTCAAACTTGCTAATGCCGCCAAAGGGAATAAACGGTAGAACGAAAACATTTCAGTTTTCCTTTTTGTGATCAAAACCTGCTTGTTCATGTAATGGTTTTAACATAGTACTGGTTCTTGTGTTATAGCGAGGAGGAATACAAGGTGACCGTAAAGCTTGCTTCAAATCTGGATATGTACAGCCTCCGGCAGTTTTTGGCTGGTAGAAGCAGGGAGCTTCCACAGGACACTATCCAAGCTCTCGACATCGCCCTAAGGGAGTGCCCCACAACAAAGTAATCCATTAGTACTTTCTTGATGTGGAGTAGAAAGTTTTCATTTTCTGAGTTGGCCTGTTTTCATTTCTTATATTTGTAATTCAAAATTTTGTGTGCATCTTCTTTAAATTGAAACAGGTATGTATCGATCTTTAGATCGTTCTTCTATCAGTCATTTGGACATGGTGGCGCAATTGGCAACGGTGTTGAATGCTGGAGGGGTTATTACCAAAGCCTTCGCCCCACACAGATGGGTTTGTCACTAAATATTGGTACGGCTGTGCCTAAATGTGTTCTTGTCACTAAATATGGGATCGCATTAAGGTATGAATGATGCTGGCTTATTGTTCTCCTTAACTATTATTTTTTCTTCTCTCTTTTTTGAAAAGGAGGTTAAAACCCCCGGCCTCTGCATCAGTGTGATGCACACAGCCATTCTTATTAATTATTAATTTTTTCTTCTGTCTACCAAACTAACTGTTGCATTCCTTTTTCTTTTCTGCTTTATATAGTTGAAGAAAGCCCTTAGAGGTGTCCGGGTTGAGGCCACTCATCGGACGGATAAAACCATACGCTACAAGATCACTAGCGTATCCTCAGCTCCATTGAAGGAATTAATGTATCTATTCACTATTATACCCTGTTTACTTCATGCACTTTCTTTACATTTTCATTTATTTAGTTACATGATGCTGTTAAATAATTGTGATTATTTATAGGGTAGGTAGAAATGAGCTCAACTGCGATTTTCCTGTGATTGTTTGCTATTGCAGGTTTGATCAAGATGGTGTGCGCGTATCAGTAGTCCAGCACTTTAAGAAGCAATACAATTACACTTTGAAATATACCAATTGGCCATGCCTTCAGGCTGGCAGTGACAGCAGACCGATCTATTTGCCTATGGAGGTGCTTATGGCTGATCTTCTTTTGTGACTCGCTAAGTTTGTCTTTTGTTTTTGTAGTCAAATCAATAGCTTGTACATATGATTTCTTCAGGTTTGCAGCATTGTTGGAGGACAAAGGTATTCTCGGAAGTTGAATGAACGCCAGGTTTCAAGCATACTAAAGATGGCATGTGAAAGACCAGCTCAATGGGAGAGCAGTGTTCTAGAGGTGAATATTAGCCCTTAATTCTCATTTACTCCGCAGTTGGTATTTGTAGCATAGCATAAGTGTACAGTTTTGCATTGCTCTTATATCAACATATTTGTATGCGTTTGATTTGAGGATATATGATCTGATTCCTTCTTTTTATTCCCAGATTGTTAATAGGAATAATTATGGTAATGATGAATATTCCAAAGAATTTGGCATGAAAGTCATGAACCAACTTGCATTGGTCGATGCTCGTGTACTACCTGCCCCAAGGGTAACTGCTTTTAAAGAAAATGACCTTACTGTTTTTACATAAATTTTTATTTATTTGACCTCTTAAATATTTCTCCTGTTGTTAGCTTAAATATCATGAATCTGGACGGGAAAAAGTATGTAATCCTTCAGTAGGACAATGGAACATGATAAACAAGGTATTATACCCTAGACCCTATTTCCGTGTGACATAAAAACTTCATTTCTCAGCAACATTGTTATGCTCAGTGTTTATGTTTATCAATATCACTTTTGTCTTGCATGTTATTTAGCACTAACATGTAAGTGGAGAACATTTGTGTCAGTCTCTAAACTTCTTGATATATGATATCATGCATTCAAATGATTGTATATACTTAATTTGCCTGGCTGTTTGTAGCGATGTTTCTATATCTTTTGTCTATTTCATTTGCTTTCTACATCAGTCTTGGTAATTCTAATTTCGTTGTTTTTCCCAGAGAATGGTGAATGGAGGATCTATCAACCATTGGGCATGTCTAACTTTCGCGTCTCGACTTCATCCAAACGACATCGGCATGTTTTGCCGTGATCTGGCTCACATGTGCAATAGCATTGGCATGGTAACCTTTTCTTCTTCTGGAATGAACCTCTGTCGCTAGCATCATATATACTGACTGAATAAATTTTCCTGTTGTAGGAAATGAACATGGAACCATGCGTGAATATCACACAAGCGCGCCGTCAGGACACAGTGGAGTCTGCAATCAGAAATATCCATAGGCATTCTGCAGAAGTGCTCACTAAGCAAGGTCTAGAAGGGAAGCAACTTGAATTATTGATCATCATATTACCTGATATTAGTGGTTCCTATGGTATGTTCTTCAAGTTGATTTTCTGAGCTGATATCTGACTATTTTAAAATAGAAATCAGTTTTAATTCCAAGTTTCTGCCATCTAATGCAGGAAAGATAAAACGGCTCTGTGAAACCGAGCTTGGAGTAATAACTCAGTGCTGCTTACCCAAGAATGTTCAGAAGGGTGGGAAACAATACCTTGAAAATCTTTCTCTGAAGATCAATGTTAAGGTATGAATCAATTGCTAGCTGCTCGACAATCAGGCCTGCGAAATGCTAAGACCTTTGCTGTTTTATGATTAGGTCGGAGGTCGGAATACAGTACTTGAAGATGCTTTGTACAAGAGGATACCCCTTCTGACAGATGTGCCTACGATAGTTTTCGGAGCTGATGTTACCCACCCAGCTGCTGGAGAAGATGCATCTCCATCTATTGCAGCAGTATGTCATTCTTCTCTCTCTCATCATGTCAAGTTTGTTAATTTGAAGTCTGCTTATTTGACAAGAGACTGTCAGAGTGGGACGCACTAATTAATAGCGCTCAACTTCCGTTTCTATTTTTTTTTTCACTTTTTATCAGTACCATCTGTATTGGAAGTTTGGAATAGCTTTGCATTTTCGGTAACAAAAGGAACGATATGTCAGAACAAAAGTAGCGATATTCATTGTAAAAGGCTGCTAAGCTTTTACTTGTGCTTCAAAGGAGAAACATACTACCTATCTATTTTTTCAATTTGCTTTGTGTGGATGGTACAGATCCTCTCTTTCTGTTTGCCGTCTTGGCACCATACTATGAATAACGCATGATAGAATTTGGAGTTCTGGAACTAAGGCTTCTACATCCTCACATTGTAGGTTGTTGCATCTATGGATTGGCCAGAAGTAACAAAATACAAATGCTTGGTCTCTTCACAAGGCCCTAGGGAAGAAATAATTGCCGACCTTTACACGGAAACAATGGATCCACAAAGGGGACGTGTTGGTGGTGGCATGATAAGGTAATGCAAGATACGGAAGTATTTGCCTAGTTTTCCTTTTTGCAACAATAACATTGAATTCTTGAAATTTTGCAGGGAGTTGCTTCTCTCTTTCTACAGAGCAACTGGATGCAAACCTCACAGGATCATATTTTATATGTTTGTAAAGCGTGCAGTCTTTGTTTTTCCAAGAATCATTTCTTAGTCTCTGCTTAATACTGAATCGTTTAATATGCAGAGATGGTGTTAGTGAGGGTCAGTTCAGCCAAGTGTTGCTTTATGAAATGGATGCGATTCGCAAGGTTCTTCTCACCCCCTTTGACCCTCTCCATATAACGCCACATTCGTCCTTTATTTTCGTTTTCAACATTCTCCGGGCTTGTGCTACACCATGTCAGCTAGTGATTAATTCATACCCTGACATTCTAATTTCTAATGTGTTTGCCACACCATGTTCTTCTTGTTCCCAGGCTTGTGCCACTTTACAGGCGGGTTACCTCCCACCAGTCTCATTTGTTGTTGTGCAAAAGCGGCATCACACTCGCCTATTTCCTGAAAATCATCGTGCGCGGGATCTGACGGATAGAAGTGGGAATATCCTACCTGGTAAGTTTACCTGGTTAATTAGCATAATGTGTGCATAACTTTGTACTAACTTTAGCACAAAGTTGAGTCATCTATTCTGGGACGGAGGGAGTAGATTTTACGTACCAAAGTGTGTTCCAGTAATAACAAGATTAAAGTATCAAGTGTGCATTGTCCTCAGGTACTGTTGTCGACACAAAGATCTGCCATCCTACAGAGTTTGATTTTTACCTCTGCAGCCATGCTGGTATTCAGGTAATGTTGCATGATTCACATTTTCGTGAAGTCCCATACTTCTAGTGTACTCGGCAAATGTTTCATGACTCGATACTAAAGTCTCTCCTGTGTTTTCCTTTGGACAGGGAACAAGCCGCCCGACACACTATCACGTTCTTCTCGACGAAAACCGTTTCAGTGCTGATGCCCTGCAAACCTTGACCTACAATCTCTGCTACACGTAAGCCGCTCTAAGCCAGTTTCCTCCATGATCAATGATGCATAGCCAGCATACTGTTGTACCCTGTTATCTAACTATCTAACTTTTTTCTTCTGACGGTTCCTCGCTCGCAGCTACGCCCGGTGCACGCGATCGGTCTCTATAGGTACGCATTTAACCAAGTCTTCAAATCTCTGTATCAGCTTGCAAGGCAGGTGCTCATGATTTTAGACATGGGCAATGTCTTTTGACTTGCTTCTGATTCTGGTTATTGCTACCGTGACAGTTCCTCCGGCGTAGTACGCGCACCTGGCGGCCTTCCGTGCGCGCTACTACATGCAGGACGAGTTCTCCGACGGGGGCTCGTCGTCAGCCACGGCCAGGTTGGCGCCTACGAGGCAGCTCCCCAAGATCAGGGACAGTGTCAAGGAGTTCATGTTCTATTGCTGATGGCTGATCCCTTGCTTGCGAGAAGTAGTGGTGTCCACACCTTTTGCTTGGCTGTGCTGCTGATGGCCTGCTCGAACCACAGCAGTCTCATCGTTGCCGTTTGTGGTTTATGTATGGAACTTGTCATGGTTTGGTAGGACGTGTTGCCTGCAAGAACTTTAGCCTTCGGTTAGCGTCCTCTGCAAACATGCTGGTGGTATATGCATGTGACAGAACGTAGGCACATATATTTTGTGAGAAACATTCGCAGTTACTACATCAGCTGTGGGCGCGTCTGTTGTCAGTTCGAAAGATTTTCAGCTAGTTCGCTGTCTTGATGACGAGACTGACATCTTTGGTAGTACGTAATGTTGGAGTCACGGCTTGGTCACGCACCCAACGACGGCCTCGCCGTCACGGCAGCCTGTTATATATTCCGGCCGTTGTCAGAAGTCAGAGCCAGCAATGGACTAGATGCGTGGCTGGCCGCGAAGATGATTCGCGTCAAACCAATCATCGTCATCGGTCGTCACCGCCGGAATACCTTGCTCCATCGTCCTCTACTGATTTTGCTGGCGCGTAGCGCGCAGTTGGCTCCCTGAGAGCACTGATGAGCTGTGCGACTACTAGTCGATCGCCGGAGAAAGTGACTGCCGGTGCGTCGCTGGCTCGCTGCCGACGACTCGTCTCTGTTACTTGTATCCTGAGGGCTTCTTGTCTAAGATCATTTAACTAGTAGTTTGACAATGAAGTGTTTCAACTCAACTATATCGACTCATTTTAGTTTGTTTTCATCCAGTTTCAAACGCAGCAACTTTTCCATCCCGCGTGGAATTATTCCACACATTCAGGACTGCAATGCATGGGTGGCCATGAACATTCCTCACCATTTTTCCACGAGTATATAATTTTTTTTAACACAATACAGACGCAAGCGCTCATACATACGCGCATACACTCATCCCTATGAACGCACACAAGCACCCATATGAGCACCTTCGAGAGACTGAGCCGGCATATCATTTTAAGATTTACGAAGTCACCGTAGACTCCTCATCGTCGACGGGAATGTCTCCTCTCACTGAAAGCGCATCGCCAGAAATTCTGAAATAAATCTAGAAATAAACCAAATATTCCTGTCGTAGTAGTTGGCAACTACTAGTTGCACAAAATCACAGCAACAACCATTTCATCCTTGCCCAAGGGTGAGAGAAGTGGTGATCTAGAAAGGTTTACTAATTGTGGCAATGCCAAGAAAGGGACGCTCCGGGGATTGATTGACTAATCTACCATATTAATCCTTGTCGGTGGACCGATCACTCAATCCATTTCTAGTTTGTACGCGATCCTGCTCAAGCTAAAAAGTCCCAACGTCAATGTTGCTGATGCTCTGGCTGTATGCAGATCGATGCCCTCTCTTATCCAACAAGAGGGGACGAGAGAGATGGAGGCGGACGTCTTTGAATAATGACTCGTCAAGGTCAATTAGATGACAGTTTGGCAACTAGTTCCGTTATCATATATTGTATTTAGAAAAGTATGCTACTAATGGTCGGAACATTTAGGTTCATATTTTGGTTAGTAACATTTTGGTGCAAATTTCCCACAAAGCAACAAGAAGAGAGCGACGAGACAGTGGTGCACTTATCCCCTATCAAGTTGCTCTCGGCTCGAGTATATTCAGTAACTCAAGAGCCAAGAGATAAGGTCCTTCAGAGGATTACGTAACATGAAATATAAAAGCCGTATATATGCCTAGAAACGTTAGCTCTCACTACTTCTTCGGAATCTCTAACAAGTGTCTAGAAATGTCTTTTCAGCTCAAGTAATATGTACTACTCCCTCAGTATAGTGCAAAAAACGTTCTTATATTTTGGAACGGAGGGAGTAGTTAGCAATATTGATGCCGGATCTTGGAGGTCTGCGCGTTAATATGAACACACATGTGATTAGAAAAAATTAGACGCGCATCGAGTAAGATGTAACTGATCGGTTTGCGACAAGATTTTGGTCGGTGACGTTACAAGACTTTTCTCTTATATATACTACGTTCTTTTTCTGAAGAAAATGCTGAATAATTTGTTCTTCCGCAGAAAATGGTTTAAAATGGGTGAGTGGATGCGAAACATCTGCCGCGTCGTCCACAGGCCATATGTGCCCTTTGAACATGGCCATTATTGCAAGACGCATGAACGCAATATGAATTATTTTGCGGACCGTGTAGAAAAAAAAACTGAAAAACTGTTTGGGGATGCCATAAGGCTCATGTTGCAAAACTCTAAGCGCAACATGAGGCAGGCTTGTTGCAAAGGCTTGGTGACGGTGTGCTACGATTTTGATAGTTCACAGTAAACGTTCACTGTTTCACTCACATGACGACTCAACAAACTATCGTTGGAACAATCATCCCTTTCCTGGAAATGCGGGATCACACAAGACTTGCTGATCTCCACCCGCTACTTGTACAGTACTACTGAACCAAGAATTTCAGTTATCCATTTTGTAGTACACAACAATCGATCCATGATCCATCTATATATTTCTACATAAATTTTTTTTTTGACGAAACGCTGTCGGAGCAGCTTTTCTTTTTCATTTATAAGAGGAAAGGTGTTACAAGTATGTGGTCGGAGCAGGCCGCTATACATCAACTATGCCAACAGCCGGCAACCCAGCAACATATATCAGCACATAATTCAGTCTGGCTCTCGAGGTCTGTCCAAAAACAGCTGAAACCTATGACGCCCAGCCTGGTTCCATATCCTAAATTCATCAATCATCAAGTTGAAGACCGCACTGACGGTGGACGCCTTGCTTTGGAAAATCCGGGCATTCCTCTCGCACCACGTGAACCACCAGATTGCCACTACCAGACCGCCCCAGCCCTTTGAGTTGGTCAGGTTAGCGTTCACCACGTTGGACTCCCACCAGTCAGCAAGGCTGGTTGTCGCCGCCGTCGGCGCAAGAGTGGTGGGGAGGTTGCAGCGGTTGAGCATCAGACTCCATAGAGCTTGGGTGTAGGAGCAGCGTGCTAGGAGGTGATCAACACACTCGTCCGCCGCCCGGCAGAGAGAACAAATTGGGTCGTGCGGCCATCCTCTTTTCTGCAGGTTATCCGATGTAAGACATTTTCCTAGGATCGCAAGCCAAGCGAAAATTCTGCATTTTAGCGGAGCATCAGCCGCCCATATGTGTCGCTGACCGGCGAGGCGAGTACACCCCTCGAACTGCACGGCATATGCAGTGGCCGAAGAGTAGGCGCCATTCGGCGTCCATCTCCAGATCACTGAGTCGGGAGTTCCCAGCAGCAAGTGCACATCAGCAACCGCCTCCCAGAGCTTTGTGTATTGGATAATAGCTGCTGGCGTAAGAGGGCGACGCAGGTGTCTGATCCAACGGCCATCTTGTAGGGCTTGGGACACCGTGAGGTTTTTGCGAGTGCAGCAAGCAAATAGGTCTGGCGCTGCACAACTCAAGGAAACCCCATTCAGCCAAGGCTCATACCGGAACTTAATCCTTTCCCCATTTCCGAGAACGAACTTGACAGATGCATTGAAGAGGTCGTTAAGTTTCTTGTCCACTGTCATAGGTAGGCATGCCCATGGCTTGTCCGGCTCGTTCCAGGATTGCCAAAGCCAGCGAAGGCGGAGTGCCATGCCTTGAGCTTGCAGGTTGGAGATCCCAAGTCCCCCATACATCTTTGGCCGACACACAAGCTTCCAGCTCACCAAGCATTTGCCCCCAACGGCAACCCCCTTGCACTCCCAAAGAAAGCCCCTTCTTATTTTGTCAATAAGTTTATGTAACCAAATCGGTTGCGCCAGGGCAATCATCTGGAAAACCACCATCGCAGACAGGACCTGCTTGACAAGCATAAGCCGCCCGTCCAGGCCCATGAGTCCAAGCTTCCAACAACGAACTTTGGATAGTATTTTGTCTATATATTCCTCATAATCAACCATCTTCAGTCTGGAGTCAGAAAGCGGCATTCCTAGGTACTTGCAAGGGAATTTTTTACAGGCACCCATTGAGGCACCCATAATCAACGACAAATTCAGGCCCTCACAACAGATGGGTGTGAAAGAACTCTTTTCAAAATTTGTGTGTAAGCCGGTCGCATTGCCAAAGAGTTGGAGCAGTTGCTTGATGGATGCAATTTCAGAAGGATCCGGGTTGATGAAGATTACAGCATCATCGGCATACAAAGAGGTGCGAAAAGGCATGCGAGATGATCCAATAGGCTTGAGCACCTCGGCTTCAACAGCGGCATTGATGAGGGCAGCAAGGCAGTCCATCACAATGACAAAAAGCAGCGGGGACATAGGGTCTCCCTGCCGAAGGCCCTGCTGATGGTAAATTGAGTCTGTGAGGGCGCCATTGACAAGCACCTTGGACGTGGCAGTAGACAGCATGACAGAGATCCAGTCACGAAACTTGGTGCCGAACCCCTTGGCCTCTAGAACCTGCAGCAAGAACTCCCAAGAGACCGAATCGAAGGCCTTTTCAATATCCAGCTTCAACATCACCGCCGGTGTCTTTGATTGTTTGAACATCTTGGCGAGGCAATGAACGTATTTGAAATTGTCATGAATTGTGCGGCCCTTAATGAAGGCACTTTGGCAAGGTTGGACAAGATCGTTCATCCGACATCTTAACCTTGAGGCAAGGATTTTCATGAAAAGTTTGCTGATGAAGTTGATCAAACTGATCGGTCGAAAATCTCTGGGTGTTGACGCTTCAGGGTTCTTTGGGAGAAGCACGATAGTTGCTGAATTGAGCAGATGAAGCTTTCTGGCATTCAGGTTCTCGATCTCTCTGATGGCTGCCATGATATCAAACTTGATCGTGTCCCAACAACTCTGGAAGAAGAG